GAAGGCTGAATTTGACCTGAACGTCTGTAGTTAACAAATTCCTGATCTATCCTAGTATTTTCCCTTTTTTCTTCTCCTTACTGACTACAGAAAGATCAACTCAGTCTTGTGGGGGGGTGAACTGTGTTTGAGAAGCAGTATTTGAGAGAGAGAGAGAGAGAGAGAGAGAGAGAGAGAGAGTGAGTGTGTGTGTGTGTGTGTGTTGGCATGTATACATGTGGGTGTGCGTACGTAAGCATTTGCAGCAGTCAACAAAACAACCTTGACTTACATATGACTATTAGAGGTGTCGTCTAATCTCTACATCAACAGTCTTCAACATTTTAGACAGAACCATTTTCTGGTCTCCCAAGAGAATGCTTAAGTAGAAACAAAACGCACCAATAAAACCAGGACCTTTACCTTTAGTACATGTTGTCCCTGAGACACCAAAAGGAACCCGAGGTTTGTCAGACTATGATCTAAAAACCACTGCTCTAGCAACAACACCCCACCCTCACAGGACCCCTTGAAGAAGGGTTCTGACATGGGCCAAGGAAATGAATGAAGCCACTATGAAGAGTGTAGTGTGACGTGGGTTTCACTCTTCTCTCCCTCCTGTTTCACCTCACACAGAATTGTTTTGATAGGAGCTCGGAGAATATTCCTTTCCATCTCCAGACCCCTAACGAGGTTATGAAGGAGACTGGGGAGCAGAGGAAAGGAAGGTAAGCAGATATTTTAGGCCAGCTGTTATTAGAGGCTTTAGGGAGCAATCTTAATATAACATAAGCCTACCCACTGCCATCAAGTCGATGCCAACTCTGTAGGATAGAGTAGAACTGCTCCATAGGTTTCTGGGGCTATAAATCTATAAATCTACAGAAGCAGACTGCCACATCTTTCTCTCACCGACTGGCTGGTGGGTTCAAACTGCTGTTTGGTCAGCAGCCCAACACATAACAACTGTGGGGCCAGGGTCCTGTATTTGTAATACCCAAACCAAAATAAACCAACAGCTGCCCAGAAGATTCTGAGTCACAGTGACCCTACATGACACAGCAGAACTGCACTGGTTCCCAACATTCTCACAGGTTACAAATGATGATCTCAAACTCACTAGGGTAGGAAATCCTTAACAGGGATTTGCTCGAGTTCCCCCAGATCTGGGATACAGTAGTGACCAAACAGTGGGGTTTCCAACTCACTGACCCTTCCCCAAAGGATTCTGCATTCGTCAATTGATACATCAAAACGGCCGTGATGGCATCCTCAAGTGGCTCAAAATGTGTTCCTCTGAATGTAGGAACAAAAAGAAATGTGAATGGGGCAAGATCGGGGCTGCTGGCTGGATGGGGTAAAGTTTTCCAACAAAATTCTTGAAGAATGGGCAGGTATAGTTCTGTGATGGGGAAAAAAACAAAACAAAACTCCTTGACACACACATTTCCTGGCCTTTTTCTCAACGTGCACCTTTCAATTTTTTTTAAAACATCTTCCTTATAAGCTCCTATGATTGTCCTGTGTCCTTCAAGAAAGCTACCAAGGTTACCCCATTGGAATCTCGAAAAACAGTCACCGTAACCTTCTGAGCTGAACTCTCTGCCTTGAATTGAACTAGCCCACCAGAGACCCTCTAAAACCAGTTTTCATCACACCTTTGTTTTTAAAGGCATCCTACTGAGTCGACGTAGATTACTGAGAGAACTTGTCCACACTCCACTGATCACAGATCATGTTTTTAAGTCCATTTTATGTGCAATAAGTTTGTGCATGTATGAGCTGGACCCCTACTAGTGCCCTCACACTAATACCAATGAGTTTTAGTTCTTTAAGTAATGTCTACATATTGCTGAGATATTTCACGCAAATAAGGTGTAATGAGCATTCCACTGCTCTATCAATTCCATCCATGGAATTTATATAGTTACTCTTATTCTACATATACTCATTTGTTGTTAAATAGTGTGAAGAGGGGAAAAGGAGAGGGTTGTTTTTTTTTTTAAGCTGAAGTACCTTTCTCTTAAGGAGCCCTTGTAGTCCTTAGTGCTGTGGATAAGCATTGGACTGCT